GGCACTCTAAACTGATTTGAACAAAATGTTTTAGTCATTATGTTCCAATATTGCTATTTTTTGTGTATTCAATCCATCTTTACATGAAAATATAACTCATTTACTATGCGGCTATAAAGATTTACATTATAAAGTGCAAATATGGTCAGTTTTGGTTGATGAGGACAAATAATTTTGTTATTTGAGTCAGTCTGATGTATGAAAACTACTGAAATTTGTTTACGATTCAATATTTTATATTAAAAAGACATGCTGGCACTCTAAATTGATGTGAACAAAATGTTTTAGTCATTATGTTCCAATATTGCTATTTTTTGTGTATTCAATCCATCTTTACATGAAAATATAACTCATTTACTATGCGGCTATAAAGATTTACATAATAAAGTGCAAATATGGTCAGTTTTGGTTGATGCGGACAAATAATTTTGTTATTCGAGTCAGTCTGATGTATAAAAACTACTGAAATTTGTTTACGATTCAATATTTTATATTAAAAAGACATGCTGGCACTCTAAATTGATGCAAACAAAAATTTCTAGTCATTATGTCCAATATTGATATCATTTGTATTATACAATCCATCCTTACATGAAAATATAACTCATTTACTTATGCGGCTATAAAGATTTACATAATAAAGTGCAAATATGGTCAGTTTTGGTTGATGCGGACAAATCATTTTGTTATACGAGTCAGTTTGAGGTATGAAAACTACTGAAATTTGTTTACGATTCAATATTTTGAATAAAAGGAGGACAAACTGGCACTCTTAATTGATGCGAACTCAATTTTTTACTCATTATGTTCCAATATTGCTATCATTTGTGTATTCAATCCATCCTTACATGAAAATATTACTCATTTACTATGCGGCTATAAAAAATTTACATAATAAAGTGTAAATATGGTCAATTTTGGTTGATGCAAACACATTATTTTGTTATACGAGTCAGTTTGAGGTATGAAAACTACTGAAATTTGTTTACGATTCAATATTTTGAATAAAAAGAGGACATGCTGGCACTCTTAATTGATGCAAACACATTTTTTTAGTCATTATGTGCCAATATTGTTATCATTTGTATTATACAATCCATCCTTACATGAAAATATAACTCATTTACTATGGGGCTATAAAGACTGACATAATAAAGTGCTAATATGGTCAATTTTGGTTGATGCGAACAAGTTATTTTGTTGTTCGAGTCAGTTTGATTTGAGGTATGAAAACTACTGAAATTTGTTTACAATTCAATATTTTGAATAAAAGGAGGACACACTGGCACTCTAAATTGATGCGAACAAATTTTTTTAGTCATTATGTGCCAATATTGCTATCATTTGTATTATACAACCCATCCTTACATGAAAATATAACTCATTTACCATGCGGCCATAAAGATTTACATAATAAAGTGCTAATATTGTCAGTTTTGGTTGATGAGGGCACATCGTTTTGTTCTAAGAGTCAGTCTGAGGTATTAAATCTACTGAAATGTGTTTACAATTAAATATTTTGAATAAAAATAGGACGGACATGTTGGTTCCAATATTGATGTCAATTGTATTATACGGTCCATAATGACATAAAATATAGCTGAATTACTACGCTGCTGTATAGATAACTTGACAAAGGGCAAATATGGTCAGTTTTGGTAAATGAGATCAAATAATTTTCTTTTACGAGTCATCCTGAGTCAGCCTGTCTGAGATGTGAAAACTGTTTGAATTTGGTGATGATTAAATTAATTTAATAAAAGGACATACTTGAACTATATTTTGGTGAAGAAAAAAGAAATTTACTATTAAATTTTGATTAAATTTATTTAAGAAGTGTGATAACATTACCAATTAACTGTAATCGACGTCAATATGTCAATCGAAAATGACCAGTTGGTCATTTAATTTTGATGTACCTTATCATTTGATTTTTTAGGGCAAAGTATCCAGGATACGATGAAAATCTGCGTTAACGCGCGTTTACTACAAACAGTAAACGTGCGTTTACTTTTGACGAAAATAGAAGACGCGCATTTTTGCACATTAACGCGGAAGTAAACGCGAAAGTAAACGCCCGTTTACTCTTTACAAAATTAGAAGACGGGCCGTTTTTGCGTTAACGCGGAGGTAAACGCGAAAGTAAACGACCGTTTACTTTTTATGTCTACTGAAATGTCGGAGTTAACGCACAGTTAACTTGGCGTTAACATGAAGTGCACGCGAGTAAACGCCGCGTTAACTTTTTCGGCCCGTCTACATGTAATGCTTGGTCTGCACCCAACTGTATGTTCAGCAAACATTAAGAAAACATGGTATTTTGTAGCCGTCGTATGATAAAATGATTCCAAAAAACATATGAAACATGTGCAATATAAACTTCTTTATCGAACGGAAACGAAATATATCTTTCGTCCATCCTGCATAGTGTTTCGCAAAACAATTTGATTCTTAAACATCATTCAAAATTATAATATTGCTGACAAAGCGAAATAATTTCTGTTGACCAAACTGCATGTTGGTAAAAAAATATTGACAGCCAGGATTTCGGTACCTGCATAAAAACAAATATTGTTTCTGTTAAATTTTTTGAAAATCTTTTAATATAAAGGAATATATTTCCTTTATGCAAAACTCTGAATCCTTGTCCACGTTTGGCTATAGTTTAGGTCATTTATTGCTTTTGCTAGCTCTTCAATGTTTGTATTGTTTGAGATTTTTAAATATTGTGGTCTTATGCATGTAATACAGTATAGTTGTTAACGTTATTAGAATAACATAAACGTCGTAGTCATTTTTGTAATCATTTAAAAAGCATACCATACATCTTGTCACGGTTAAAATCCATATATATAGAAGCTTTCACAGTGGCTCAAAATAAATATATTTTGTTTTTGTATGGATATATAAGGTATATACAATTCTATTGTTCGTAGACATTAATTTTCAATAATTGAACGAATTTGCAATAAATGTGAGTGAGCAAGTTAAATACAGCGAAACTATGTTTTATCGAGGTTTTTCATTTTGTAGTCATGTTTGAAATACTGAGTTTTTCACCCTAAATTGTTATTTGCATTTAAACAACAAAACAGATATAATTTTATGCTGTCTTTCTTTAGAATCTGTAAGACATGGTTAAATATGTAATTGTAATCGATAGTCGAAAGAATAAGTTATTTTTATCATTTTCTTATGTATCACAAACCGACAAAAACGTTAATCGTATGTAATAGCATGTACATGTATGTAATAGTATATACATGTAATCATGATTATAGGTTTATACCAAAACAGGTAAAATGTGTAGCTACATCACTTGGTCAGCAGAATCTGCTCTCTAGAGATTTTCTTTTAGGTTTTTTCTGTTGAAAGGATAAGTTTACGCTATGTTAATTTTGAACTGTTGGTTTTCTCACCATTTTTCTTTTCTTCATGGTGTATCTGTCCATTGTCAACTTATGCCTCAAGATTGTTCAAATGGTGTAAAGAAATCACACGGTTCATTAAATAAAAACAGATGCAAGATAAATATATATTGTATAAGACCACCTAGTATGCTTTAATTAAAGGGATACAAGTATAGTAGATAAGTAAGCCATTTTTAGCCGTCGTTTGTTTGCCCAACGTTTCCGAGATTATTTTACGGTTCTAAATGAAAAGTGTCTTATGAAGATGTACATTTATTCAAGAAAATACATGTCACTTCTTAAAAAAATTTATTGCAAAAAAATACGTATTACCTATCTTAAAATGGAAGGTTTATTGTTAAGAATTTCTTTAGTGTAAAACACAATAAAGCACTTTATAAATTTAGTGCGTGAGAAATTCCCTGAAATTAGGTTCATCAAGACGCTCATACGGAAGAAAGTGAAATGCAAGCATGTATAAATACATGAATACATAAGGACATAAATTATCAAAAGGGACAGACAAGGAATGGTACAATTCATCACGGGTCAACATTGCATGAGGGTGTGTAAGTAAAGAAATGACTTTGATACTAGGCTATTTTAAAACAATTCAAGAGAATTTAGAGATAACTGTATTGTATTTAAAGCTTTGAGTTTACCTGGCGACGTGTATCTCTATTCTTATGCAAAATAAACAAATCAATGAATTTAGTCGTTATTTCAGTGTTAAATCTTCATGACACGAAAATTCCGCGAAATAATGTTATCTTCGTTGGCGCCTAAACTATGTGACGTCATAGGTATGCTTCCCGCTTCAAACGTAAACATCTGGAGTTTTCTGGCTTCATGATTGTAATATTAATTGATAAACAGATGATGTCTAGGTTTACAATCTGAGTTTTTTGCTCTTTATTGGAGAAATTATATGTCAATACATTTCGAAACTCAAAATTTCGGCTTCCTTAGTTACAGACAGGAAGAATTTTACGATATTGTCATCCTATCAAAGTCGTGATACAAAATAATTGCATTTTTTTTTATTTGGATAAAATTCTCTGTCATCAGTTTAACATGCTAGTTTATCAAAGGCTTTGACAAAACAGCAGATTTTCACAGATCACGATGGATGCCGTAACTGATTAACAGACACATCTTTTGTTTTCTCTGTATGTTTATTTTTCTAGGTTTTTGTGAGATGAGGGTTCATATCTAAAGTTTGTTGTGTAGCTCGACTGAGACGATGTTCTGTATGTTACTTCGTTTTTCCAAACATAAACTCACCATACATTGCATTATGTTTGGTTCTTTTGTACAGAACATATACAATCTCTAAATTCTTGGAAATTCAAAGCAAGGAAAATATTTCTCGATATCAATGCAATTAAGTGTTTTTTTTATACTTCATTTTAAGCATGAAAGGTAAAATATAACTTTAAATATTTGCTGTCATTAAGATATTTTCCTGAACAATTACTTAAGATTTTTTTTACAGATTCTCCAGTTGTTGATATAAGACGCAAACTAAAGAAAAACAAATTAACACTTATCTGCAATCCGAGCGGAATCCCTGACAATTATACATTCGGGGATTGGGAACACTGGTCTGAATTCAAAGAACATATTCGAAATGTTCAGGGGACTCCTGACGGTACGCTTAAAATGAAACACACCACTGACAACCGGTTTAACGAAATTGACGGCATTTACAAATGCAAAACTTCCAACGATATAAATGGTACAAATGGACGCTTATATCAGAAAGGATCAGTTCTCATAAACAATAAAGGTAACGTATGGAAAACATTTTTATATGAATCAAACGAACTTATATTTCTTTTAAATGTTTGTTAGTTGTTTTGCATGCATCAATATAAACTTTTCAATGAATATATGCCGTTACAAAAATGTATTGTGTTACATGAAACATGTGAAAATAATACAAACTGTCATGAAATGCTTGAAATATAAAGTTTGCGAAGAATCAATTCCTTGAGTTCGTTCTTTAACTCAACGTCACAGTAAGGTCTTCAGTGATGAAAATGATGATATGATGCTTGCAGTTAATATTCAAATCGTACACTTTATCACCCAATATCAAATGTATTTATTGCATATCACACCATAAAACAATTTAATGGTATGATTATAGGTAATAGTGGATGAAACGATGTGCTGCCGAATTCAGTCATACAACCGAACAATTATCATCACGTTTTTACGCGTTAAATGTTTCTACTGACAGCATTGCTTTTCATTTTGTTTTCTCAACAGACATTTCATAGAGTTAGAATAATTGCCGATGCAACAAATAATGGCCTTTCAGTTAGTTATACTGACTTCGCCAACTCGAATATCAGCTTGTCATGGCGAGCTCGTTTCATATTATTTCTGACAAATAAGATTGAGAATGGAAACGGGTAAGGAGTAAAAAAAACAACCCAACCAAAGAGCAGGAAAAATGTCAGTTTAAAATAATAAAAAATGGTAATCTTCTCTATTAATTTTATTTTAGTTCCGCCGACATTTGTGAACTCAAATAAGCAAATTCAAATCGGTCGTTATGGTAAAGAAATTAACTTGACAGTGCTAGTGTACAATAAGTATGGCAAATTAAAAACAAACCTATCAAAACAGAATAAGTATCTGAATGCACATGAAATACAGGAGATGATTCGAATACAGGCCATGGTCTATGGTGTAAACATAACAGTGGCTTGTATAAAGATAACATTCCAACTGACACTTGATGAAATAGAAGACTTTACAGATTATACAATAGAAGCTTGCAACAAAAAGGGGTGTAATAAACTAACGGTGAAGATAAAATCGGAAAGTAAGTTAAATCACTTCTTAGTCTTTTATATGTTTATGTATTGAAGACACCTTAATAAAAGTATCAATTTCATTTTGGAAATCTTACACTCTTACAAATGTAAAAGTGTGTCTTACCAATTTCGCATATGAATATCACTAAACGGAATTCTATACAAATAAGTGAAATACACTTTTGTCTTTAACAGTGATTTTGAAATTAAAACTTCATCCAGGAAGTGTGAACACTAAATCATTTAGTCATATAGTTTGGTTTTTTTTTCATTTAATTTGCAGACTTATTCACTGCGATTAATATCATTTCAGTGCAAAAAAATTCGCTTGTAGTCAATTCATTACCGTCCTGTTGTGTTCTAGACAATCCCGTATGATGTTGATGTTTACATGTAAATAAAAAGTACGTAACAATCTGAATATAAACCGAACAACCTTTCATAGACTGCAAGCGTATTGTCTAAATAGTACAGAATTTGGCGCAGTAGATAATTGTGAATAGTGATGATAGTAGCACTAACAATGATAATGATGATAGTAATAATAAGAAAAAAGATAATAATAATGATTATAGTAATATTTAAATTGTCAATGGCGAGTATTTTATTATACCAAGATTGAATACATCAAGCGATATCAAAATCTCACAAGTACCATTCAAGATAGGATATCTATAAAAAAGCCGGATACCTTATATGTAAGCAGAATCGATCCAACGACAGTCCGGAATGTTTACTTTATGACAGGTCCTAAAATGAAGTTAAATCTAGAAGGAGTTAAAAAATTTGAGAATCTAATCGCGGAATGTGTTGAGACGACAACAGCTCGACAAAAGAGCAAATTAACAGTCTAAGGTCACCAAAGGATCCCCAACACAGCGAGAAAATCCTGCATCCGGAGGCGCGCCTCAGATAGCCCTTCTACAAAATGTGTACTACTTCAACGAAAATGGACGTCACATTAACTCCGAAATATAATTGAATAAAAATTTTAAAAAAAATATAAGACTAAAAAAGGCCAGAGGTTTATGACGTTGTATAGGCGCATAAATGCGCGGGGTTAAACAGGTTTAATGAGATCTATTTTATCTTAAATTTATGGTATAATAATAATTAATGTTGCCGTAATGGATGTAAAAATATAGATAAAAAAAAGTTCAGTGTTCATTGTTCGTATGAACTTTATTTGAAATCAGTTCAGCGGGATGAATATATTTAGTGTACATACTATAGCATGTAGAGTCGTCATGAATGAGGCATGATATATCCTCCAAACATACAATTGAATTGAGAGATTAAGCTAGCTATAAAACCCATGTTTAATCCACCATTTTATGCATAAGAAAATGCATTTACCAAATCAGGAATATGATAGCTGTTTTCCAACCGTTTGATAAGATTTAGCTTTTTATTTTGCCATTTGATTAGGAACGTTCCTGTTCGAATTTTCTTCGGAGTTTGTTATTTTTATCATTTTACTTTTTTAAAATCTTCATCATGAATATGCAATGCAACAACTTACTTCAAATGATAACATCGTATAATTATGAATGACACTGAAATAACATTGCATACTTGGTAGTGATATTAATTTTACTTAACTAATTGGTAACTGATTTTAACATGATGATTTGTTATATTTGATCAAACTTCTTTAACATGTAAATTTTCCAACAAAACAGATCGACCAGAGCCTCCCACAAATATGTCAGTAATTCCATTTGACAGATATTTGACAGTATTGTGGTATCCTGGATACAACGGGGGTTTTCCACAGACATTTTTCATAGAATACAAACAAGAGGCAAAGGAAATATGGAGACGGTCAAAACCTGTAATCGATAACATGCAGGCTAGAATGTCAAATGTCCTGTTTAACATGAGTCCACAAACTCGATATCTTGTTCGGGTATTGTCAACAAATGAAATTGGAGAAATCAAAAAGACGGCTCTCACTCCTATAATGACTTTAGGTGAGTTAATGTACAATATATAGTGGCAAAATTTTAATATTCATTTTAATTCTATGTTTTAATATATAGAACTGTGTTTACGTGGAGGTTACCAAGAGGAGATCCTATGTTTTTAATCTTTGAATTAATTATGAGGGGAAAAACCGCCTTTAGTCAAAAGTTAATATAAGACAAATAAAGAAGATAATAGATGGAGAATCATAATTCATAAATCTATTTAGTTAATTGAACGGCAAAGGTGAAACTATAGAAAAAGAGAAAAAGAACGACCAAATGAAAAAAGGCTTAAACTCTTTGCTGGTTACAATGCTTTCTCTACTTGCGTTACCTGTAATTTAGCTTTTCACCTTAACATAGAGACAACTAAAAGTGTAGCGGTTATATTTCTTCGAAATAGAGTAGGCAATTTATTTACATTTTCCTTTGACCAAAAACCCACTTTCGCATCAACACTCGTTAAAATTGAGGTTTTGAACGTAAACGTTTCATGTCGCTAATTAATGAACTAGAACAAAGTGTTTGGGATGTTGGGTGCAAGGACGGTCGCTATAGGAACAAAAAGTATATTTAATTTTTTTATCTTTAAGTAAATTTTATCATTTTACAATTTCATTTTTAAAAACTATTATTGAAAGTAAAAGAACATTGAGGGATAAGAGATTAATTTTAACCGATCTTTAACATGACCTCAACTGAAGAGATTTTTTATTGGGGCTGATTTGTTTTCTTCATTGTTCTAATATATCTAACAAACTTGATTCTGTATGTATGTACCTGTCCCATATCAGGAGCCTGTAATTCAGTGGCTGTCGTTTGTTTATGTGTTACATATTTGTTTTTGTTCATTTTCTGTACATAAATTAGGCCGTTAGTTTTCTCGTTTGAATTGTTTTACATTGTCATTTCGGGGCCTTTTATAGCTCACTGTGCGGTATGGGCTTTGCTCATTGCTGAAGGCCGTACGATGACCTATAGTTGTTAATTTCTGTGTCATTTGGTCTCTTGTGGAGAGTTGTCTCATTGGCAATCATACCACATCTTCTTTTTTTATTTGTACAGATGATATAATATTGAGAATTCTGTAATACTTTTTAAAAATAATGTTGTAACATTCGAATATAACATTATTGCGTTTTTTGCTGACTGATGATGTGATTCTGAAATAAAAATGAATTGAAATGAAAAAAAGAAACTGACATAAAAACATATGTAAGGTTATTTTGTTTGAGCTGTATCATATAACTTTATGTAAAGAACAAATTATTCAGCTAGATTATTTAAACACATGTATGGCTATCATTACCATACAAAACATGGTTTAGCAGAGCAATTGCAGGAATGTTAAAACTTTGTAACGCAACATCCAAAACAATTATATGTGATTTAACCAATATGTCATTTTATTTGTCCCTATCGATTTCTAAAAAACTGCATAAAACAGAGACCAATAAAAGTTGTACATAACTAGTTTCATAATTTGTTTTAATGTTTGCGTATATATATATGATCATGGATAGCAACAAAGAACAAATAATTGCATGCAAACTCATTATTGAACTTTATATGTAGTCTATATGAAATATCTGACTAATATAAACTTGAAGGTAATTTACTGTAAATTTTTGTAACATAACACGTGTACTCTTTCTGTTTTTTATGGTAGCTATAGCGTCAATAGCTGAACCAAAAATGCAACATATTGAAATGAAATGAATGTGTATACTAATATTTGGAATTGAAGAAACAGTTTTTCCAGCTTACTTGTAGTTTCTGAAACTCTTTCTGCAATCTAAATATCTTAATTTTTCGACTTTTACAATCTTAGAAATTAAACCTTAAAATATGTTGAGTGTAAAAATATTGTAAATTATTCATTGAAGTAGAAATATTAATATCAAACTATATTTTATACTTGTTTTATTTTAGCAGCTGTTGTCACATGTTTACTCTCAATAATTTTTCTTCAAATAATGTCAGAATAGAATTCAAATATGCTGCATATCTATTACAACGACTTAAAATAACTATTTAAACGGTGATGGTAGCATTACAAATATATTTTGCATATTGTTATAGTAAATAAATATTGATTCAGACAGACGACTTCGGACTACAAACGCGATGATTTCAACTCCTCAATTAACAAATTCGCATTGCTCAGCAGGGAAATAACCTCTGCCCCGTCGTACGCTGTTTACATATCTCAATTGAAACGTTATACTAGTGATGTTTAGACAATGCGGCCTTCATATACTGTAGCGTGTTCCTTACGCAGAAACTGCTCTAACAGAGTTATGGAGAGGAAAATGACAGTCCGTAAATTTCATGGACACCATCATGAATTTGGGATCTATATGATGTGTCTGTGTCTAAACCAATTAACGACATATTTACCACGTGTTAGATTGCGGTTTACCATCTAAGTCGTCTAGTCGGCGTAGTTCCGACGTGACCTTTCCCCTCCACATGACTGTTTTGACGAGTGTGAATTTGCATTGCTATACGACGTGTCTCAGTATTTATATATGCAACATTAATGTATTCAGTAATGGTGTTTCTTTTGTAAGCACGGTTGGAAATGTTTTATGTCTTATGTTGGCTGTTGGATACGACCTAGTTCGGTATTTAAATATCCCGCTTTCGCGTATTTTATTGTTACTTTTTATACGTATGGGTCTGGTGGGTCATCTTGTGCTTAGTTGTTGTTTGTTCATTTCTGAATCATTGATGTTAAAACAAGATACCTATAAGAATAGAACGAAATATTTTCTTTTTTCATGCCAACCTATTTAAACAAAACAGTGTTATGCTAGTCGTACCATCCCAAAGAGGTTTATATGAAAGTCATAAAAAATCACATATTTTTTATATGTTATGTATATACAAAATCTTAATATTCTAAGATTAAATTACAGTGTTTTATTGGAAGCCTATTATAATAAGTCTATTTCTATTTAAAGTATTGATAAGTTTACCCGATCCTTAGCTAATACATCAAATCGTCGTATATGCATATTCTTTAATCATTATAGATATACTATGCTGAGAATTGTGTTATTAGTTAACATATTATATGTGAATGATTAACATAACGTGTTTTTAATGTTAGTATAATTGATAAAAAGTGTTTATTGATTTGTGAACTAAGCAACAACAAAAAAAAAAAAGAGGGACGAAAGATACCAGAGGGACAGTCACACTCATAGATCGAAAACAAACTGACAACGCCATGGCCAAAAATAAAAAGACAAACAAACAAATAATAGAACAGTATAAAAAGTGATATTTCTAGTGGTTCTTTCATGAGAACTCTCTATTTGTGAATACATAAATTACTGTATTACATATTGTTGTTGTACTAATAACAGTATAGTTGTACCAATATATGATTTAAAAAAGATGTATTACATTTTTCAGCCATTCATTCATCAGGTGAAAAATCACTATCTGTCCAAGGCATCGTCATTGTAGTACTAGTGTTTGTTAATATAATCATAGGAGTAGGGATCGGATTATTTGTTCGTAAGTCTTAGTTATCATAGTGACTACATATCTACCAGAAAAATCAAAACGTAACACCGACAGTATAAACATTACAATGCATATGCAAAATATATGACCATGCTTTATACAATTTGTGTTCAGGATTGTCACGATAGTCGACTAAATGTACAATGAAATTAGCTTACTTATTACATTATAATATGAAACTGTCCACGTGTCTTTACAACTTAACAATACAATTTTCAATTGTTCATTGCATAATTATTGAACATAAAGTTGTAATCGCATTAAGACAAGGCTTAAAAAATGGTTTGAAATGAGCACTGTATAATAAAGAAAAAAGATATAAGTTTGACTTTGATGAAATGTGAAAGATTAATAAAAAAGAAGAACTTTTGTTGTTTATATTTCAAATTGTAGGTTACTTTAAACAGAAGATCAAGAAGAGGTTTGTTTCTTATTTTTAGACAAAATTATTATATTTCAATAAAATTCAAGCCGATACTAATGGTTTTTCATTTACGTTATGTTCACTTGCATATCATATGAAACTCACGTAAATTTCACGAGAAAATAACATGAATTTTCAAACAAAGTAATTCAAGAAGGGCGAAAAATACCAGAGGGACATTTAAACTCATAAATCGAAAACAAACTGACAACGCCATGGCTTAAAAGGAAAAAAGACAAACAGACAAACAATAGTATACAAAACACAACATAAAAAAACTAAAGAAAAAGCAACACAAACCCCACCAAAAACTGGGAGTGATCTCAGGTGTTCCGGAAGGGTAGGAAAGCCGATCCTGCTCCACATGTGCATCCATCGTGTTTCTCCTGTTAGTACAAAACCGGTAACAAGTCTTTTTCGGTAGGTCAAATTCGTGAAAAGGGAACGGTGTTGTAGTTACGATATTAGGAACGTTTAGTTAGAATTATACAAAATACAATATTTTGAAAAAGTTCATGTGCAATACACGTGAAAAATGTTACATTCGATTAATGTGAACCTCAATTCATGTAAAATGCACATAACACTATTCACCTTCAATCTCGTTTTAGTTGGAAGTTATAAATTTGAAATATTTAACATGAATTTTTCGCAAGTGAAAATCACTTGATAAAAATTTGTCTGTGTAATGAATGTTCAATTTCAAAAATGTTTAGGATATCACGTATTTTAGCAAAACGGACCTTATAAAGTCTAAGATTGTTTATTTGATTCGTTTTGGTCACAAAACTCTCCAAATAGGTTGTTATAATTAACATTCGGCATTGAAAATATAAACAAAATATATGATGGTTGTACGGTTAAAACAGACTTTCTAAATCAATGCTTTGTTTTTAGAAATGTCTTGTTTTTATAGTATCTTCAGTAACCTATAATCGGTGGCAAATTGTTGAACAATTCATAACTCATTTCGTATTTGATTTATGTGTCGATTATGTGCGAAAGTTACCGCTGTCAGCAAACGACAAAACAATGAAGCATATGCACGAATCAGACGGATAATAACATGGTTTATACTGGAATTTTGATAAATCATTGTATTGTCAATGCAACAATATCATGCCATCAACGATGCATGACGTCGCTATTTCTGCGTACTGATGACGTGTATATCAGTTATTCCTCTTTGGTCAGATGAAGCAGAAGGTCTTTGAAGGTTTTCTATAAAAACATACAAACTTGTTTTCTGATTATTGGCGTGTCCCTCTATTAGGAAAATGTTTTGCATGTTTCAAATTTCGGGAAACAACATAAAACACAATTTGGAAAATATTAAAAATGTGTACACACAAGATAATCGTTTTAAAAGGTCGATTTCACGAGAAGAATATGACACTTGTTTTCAGATTATTGCATGTTCCTCAAATATGAAATTGTTTTGTACGTTTTCGTTTTCGGAAATAACATACGAAATGTGCACCAAACAAAAACAATTATTCAAGGAAAAAACGTATAAAAATATTTTCGGGTATAGGTGCACAATTTTTGTTGTATAAAACGAATAAAATGCATTTGTTCAGTGATTGGTGAGATATGGATTAAAAAACAAAATGTATATCAATAAAAATCATTGCACAAAGGTTCATATGAAAGAAAAAAGATAGTACCAGGTTCCAGGAATTTGTTTCACAGAAGGTTCATAAAAAAAATGCTAGCCCCGTTGCGGCATATTTCTGAAAATGAAGTTAAATTATAAATGCCTACAGATTACTTAGAACAGACATTATGCTTCATTTCGGTTTATCTTTATCGTAAAAAAACGAAGGCTTAACTTGTATTTTAAGCAAACACATTACTGCAACGCATTTGTTCAACCCGCCACTTTTAGATTAAATGTCTGTGCTAAAACGTACTGCCATCATGTTTATATTTATCTAAGGTCCAATTTGCGTGAGGGATTGTAAATTTTAGCTTTTTAATTTGAAATGGATAATTTTAGTACACTTGGTAACACCGTTTAAGTACCAAAGCATTTACTATTGAATCGGTGATTCCTTCAGTGACAAATAGCCCAGAATCCGTTTTGTCGACCTAGTGCTAGAAAATAAAATAAAACATCACCAGTATCGTGACGTCCGGAATTATCGTCTTTATTTGAGTTCAACAGGAAGGCTCAAATCCAATGATTTGAAAGCTAAAGTAATATCATGTCTAAACGCGCGAAAACCTATATGACCAAAACGGACTTGAAAATTTCAAATTAGTCAAAGTTTAACTTCATCTCGGAGAGTTGAAAACTTAGTTTCGTTTCTTAGAAAGTTCAGACTTTCATTAAAGAAATGCTTCAAAATGATTGTTAAAACTCAAGGCAGTACCGCAGCACCTACATTTTCCTTAATCCTTTTTTTTTCTTTAATCGTGTTCGAGTATTTTAAATAGGCCATACTATAAAAAGCCAGTGGCTCAGTTTTGTTTTATAAAATGTGAATAATATAAAACCATGAAAAAAGAAGACTATGTTGTATACATACCAGTTAGACACCTATCTGCTTGAGATCAAATTACGTTCATGTTAGCTTCTATAAGTCGTTGTACGGTCATCAATAATACAGAACCCATACAATATAGTAAGCTATAAAATACTGCGACATGGCAAAATGTCTTGCAATTCTTGTATGTACAAAAACACATTGTTGACAGCAACCAGCAACAAATCACTATTAACAGGCTTCTGACTTGTGAAAGACACATACATAACATGACTTGGTTATGTCAAAACAAATAACGTAGATACGAAAGACGCGAGTCATATGATACTCACTGGTATTGAATGTTAGTTTAAAGTAAATTACAATATTTTGAATAAAGTTTGCCTGACTTTAAAATCAATTGGTACAAAAACGAACCAATCAATGTAACCTGCGTTAGTTCCGTTTAAAAATCGATTTAAACCATATTGCAGCGTTGATAGCATCCTTAAATAAATACAAAGATAAGACGATGTCGTATGAGTGCCAATTAAACTCTCTACCAGACACCAAATAGCATAAAAAAGAGGCAAAAGATATCAAAAGGACGTTCAAACTTAAGAGGATGAGCAAAACCCATACCGCAAAGCAAACTATAAAAATCACCGAAATCAAAAACAAAATAAATAAATCAGACGAGAAAACGACTGATTTAAGTGCAAAGCGATAAACGAAAAACAAATATGCTATATAGCAAAAAACAACAACCAATGATTTACAAGCTCCAGACTAGGGTCCGACACATAAAAACTATTGCAGGATCAAACATTTTTGCTGGCGGCAAACCCTCCTCTTTAAAAAAATAAAAAAAAACAAACCTTAACACATCAGATTGCTACAATCACTTAAAACCCAACTAATAGGCAACATATTAAAACTTTACTTGCATAAAAATATAAACAAAAATTTCACAAATTTTGCTTGCCTCCCTCTAATGTTTTTTTTTAGTTTTACGCATGCTTTCATCTTTAGGGTGATGACAGCAGTAAATGTCCGAACATCAGAAGCGAGTAATGTCGACAGTGCTAATTATGCAGATATAACGGAAGACGAAAACAACCAGACATCATCACAAGGTACACAAATGACCAAAAACAATCCAATGAAATGGTAACATCCAAATTTGAGTTTGCTAACTGTAAATCTGTTCCAGTTCTCACTAAAAATTCGTCCCTAAAAGTTGTCAACAATGTCTGGATAACAAATTTTGTTCTATGACATCAGAGAAATTAAATTATGTGCAGTTATCAGTTCTTATTTCTGGGAAATCACGGCATTTCATCGATCCAAGTTGATAACTTTTTAATAAAACCGAATATTTAGGGGAAAAACTTCATGTCATTTATTCAATAATGATGGAATATGATTAAAAGACGATATCTGATTAATGTAATGATGCAAAATGTCAATGTATTCAGAAAACGAAAATCTAATTTTGTCAATTGTCAACATAATTGATGTCGCTAAAATTTATTTCAGAAAACGGAAGTCCGATCCTGTCAACAGTCAACATGATTGGTGTTGAAAATAGAGATGAAGCTACCTTGTCATCAGAAAATGCATCAGTAGCGTCAGACAATGATATCAATGATGTAGACAATTATGATGGTATATATGAACAACCATACACAACACTGGTGGTACAAAATCGTGCTGACGACGAAAATGTGTATCTAATTACAAAACAGAACTCAATCTATGAGAATGAAACTACTTTGGATAATTCAGCTAGTGAAATTTCTTGTGAATTCTTACATGATACTTCACCGGTGGAACCAAACCTACCTGTTTATGAAAATGTCGTTCAAGAGAAAGCTTACCTGAACTACATTGCTACATGTAACGACATCGACAATGATTTTCACCGTTTACACATTGATCCACAAAATTGTAAGGCAGAAGACATTAACATGGTGCTGAAACTATAGGATAAGATTCATAATTCGGACTTTACTTTTTTGTACATGTACAATTGTACAGCTGAACATACAAGTGTCATTAGATGTGTTCCTTGTACTAAATAACCATTCAACACTTGCATGCGGTATATTTCTTTAAAGTGATTTTTCATGGCCAATGGTCTATGAACTTGATGATATTTTATAATCAAACTATAAAAAAAAATTCATATTGCCGCATCTGTGTCATGCATCATGATTTGATAGGCCTATTCAACCAATTTAAACAGTGTTAGCATGACAAATATCGCAGGTAGTCCGGAAGCTGCCTCTCTGTCTTAATTACTTGGAGTGCTTCAAGGCTTAAAGAAGTGTTATGTTTGTTTCTTTTGTTTCTTATTAGTTTCTAAAGAAATGTTGTTTTTGTAATGTATTAATGTTTTTTTAAGATAGGTTGGAAGGATTTATGACCGAATGAGTAACGCCAGTGTGAATTATAGGTACATTTTCAGGCCAGTTGCATGATAAAATATCTTCATTACATTTTCGACATAATATGAATCGAGAAACAATATTCAATAACTGTGACACTTTTAAAGTTTTTTTATTAATGAAACATAGACGTTCGTTACAAGTTGATGTCGTTGCAAATACCTGCGCATTGAACAAAGTTTACAATTATACATGTCTTTAAATTGATTCTTTTCTCTAAACGAAGTCGTTTGATCATAATTGCATTGATCAATACTTAAATTTGTTCCTAATGACCCCTTTTTAGTTACTGTAAGTTAAGAGAACATAAAGCTACAAGGGCAGGTTTGATAAATCAATCCAAATACCTGTAATTAGATATATCTTAGGACATGTCTAGTGATCCTCTCATAACTATGTTAAGACATATATCAAACCTCGCCTCCAAGCTGTCTTAGAATGATCTTAGCTTAGATATCCTAAAAATAATATTTATATGGATTTGTTGAAAAAATAATTTGAATGAAGTATGTGTTTCCCAAGTACTGAGTGTTATTCATAAATAACAATATATCATTAATACACCAATATGCATATGAATATTCAAATACAAAATGAGAAAGAAAGAATGAAGTGATGACATTATTTTTTTGTTGTTGTACAAATGAGTTGAACTCTATTTGACACTGTATCAGTTATAACAAGAATAAAGTATAAAACCGTGCATTCATGCTAAATGAACATCGAATGTTCACAATTGATAAATCATTTTGATTATCTTTCAACGTATTAAGATTAAGTTATGAGTGGGAAAAGGGTTCCGAATTTCACAGAATTGAATGGGAGTTCCAATCTTTTTTTGGATTAACGTTGCTTCGTTCCCCATTTTTACAGTCTCTTCCTAAATATAACTCTTTGCATTACATGGATTATTCATCGTATTCATCTTGTTTGCCTAGGGTTTACGAATTTTGTTTTGACAAAAGGTTCAAACGAAAATTGTATAGTGTCCGGATATATCAGATGTTGTTTAAATGTTCTATAATTAAGAACAATCTCGTCAATTTCTGCAGATTAATCTTTACAGATTGTAAATGATATCTGGGACGTGCGAAAAAAATATACTCATTCTGAACATGAATGCAATATTTGCCCCTGCATGTTTAGCTACCACCAAAATCAATAAACTTACAAAATATACTAACATTATACAATTCCAGAAGAGAACTGAGCATAACTTTCATTATAAAGTACAAATATGATCATTCATGTAACTTATTGCTAGATGATGCAGTCGATAGGTTTGTTATAAAATCCTTCCTGAATTACTGACTTAAGTTACGATATTATGTTCAATATTATGAATACGAAGAGGAATTACTGGCACTCGGAACTTATGCTATATTGTGTAATCATCATGTCCATTGTGTACCAATATTGCTGTCTTTTGTTTTACACAAGCCGTCTTGAGTTAAAAAAATGTATGATTTATGATGCGGCTATATAATAGCAAATGCTCATGAATATTATGGTCAGTTCGAGTAAACAATTCCCAGATGATGCCACCTCATACATGTCATACTTGTATCATAGATATAAGAAGATGTGGTATGAGTGCCGATGAGACAACTCTCCATCCAAATCACAATGTGTAAAAGTGAACCATCATAGATCAAAGTACGGTCTTCAACACGGAGTCTTGGATCACACCAAACAGCAAGCTATAAATGGCTCCAAAAATGACTAGTGTAGAACCATTCAAACAGGAAAATTAACGGTCTAATATATATAAAAACGAGAAACACTAAAGAACCACATCAACAAACGACAACCACTGAACATCCGGTTACTGACTTAGAACAGCTGCAAACAAATGCAGCGGGTTTAAACGTTTAAATAGGCGCCAACATTCACCCTTACCTGAAACAATAGTGTAACATCACAACATAGAGTACCACACTACAAAATATCAATTGAAATGGATTAACTCAATCAAAAGACATATTAACACAAACAAGTGAACATACACTGTTCGAATAAATTTGATCTATGACACAATGTAAAACAAAATCAATAAAATAAGGGGTGAGATGTAAAACGATATCAAAAAGACAACTATAGCCTTGGAAAACATGCCACCAAATAAAATAATGTACACAGGTAAATGAAAATAATTTTGTTGCAAGGTAAACAGTAATGTTGATCATTATACGTCGTCAATATTTTGAATAAAAAGAATAAAAGCTAGTACTCTTAATTGATGCGGACACAAATTTGAAGTTATTATATTTCAGGTTTGCTGTCATCTGTATTATACAACTCATCTTAATGCTGTGAGGTCGTTGATACAAATCAGAACTAAGAAACTGAATGGGTCTATCAATACCCATGCTACGTCGATCTTTAAAGACCCAAATGTTGCAAAATACATGTCCTACCTCCATGACAAATATGTTGTTTTCCCCGCAGATAATGCCAAAAACAACATCGTTCGTGTGTGTAAATATCATTACATACACTGCTTATTAAATGAATTATGTATTAACGATTCACTTGAAAACTCAACATATACCCTCACGACAATTACCAAAGAGGAAATCCTGGATAATCATAGGTCTGTTCTATGTTCCTTTGGAATTTCAACCAAAGATGAAGAACTGGATCTTCCATCACTGTACTGGATACCTAAACTACATAAGTGTCCTTACAAACAACGGTATATTGTTGGGTCTTTCAAGTGCTCCACGAAACCTCTTTCTAAATTATCAACATCTATTTTATCAGCAATCAAAACCGGGCTGTAAACCAATATTGCTTTACATTATCATGATTAATTTATGCTATAAGTACTATGTGTTAGCTGGTTATTGCCATTGTCTATCGATTTTACAAGTTTACAAGAATAATGCTACATTTTAAAACAGATCAGAACTTTTTTAACATTTATATAAAATACCTCACGTCAAATCACATATCCTCTACATGCCAGTCCTGATACATTTTTTCCATTTCACACGGTCTTTAGCTGCTCATGCTGCTGTTCTTGCTGTAGCCCAGCTGTTCCATCCGAGTGATGTTCGTAATGTCTCTACAGTCCGTTTCCAGGTGGTTTTGGGATGTCCAACCTTCCTTTTTTCCTCTGGTTTTCAATGTTAGTGCAACTGAGCATATACTGTTGGTATCCATCCGTAATACATGGCCAATCAATCTCCAACGCCGTTCTATTATGTCATCATTTAGTGAACCATCATAGATCAAAGTACGGTCTTCAACTAGGAGTCTTGGATCACACCGAACAGTAAGCTATAAAGGGCTACAAAAATGACTAGTATAAAACCATTCAAACAGGAAATCCAACGGTCTAATCTATATAAAAACGAGTAACAGTTAAGAACAACATCAACAAACGACAACCACTGAACATTAGGTTACTGACTGAGAACAGGTGCAAAAAATGCAGCGGGTTTAAACGTGTAAATAGGTACCAACCTTAACCCCTACCTGAAACAATAGTGTAACATCACAACATAGAGTGACACACTATAAAATATCAATTGAAATGGCTTAACTCAATCAAAAGACATATTAACACAAACAAGGGAACATACACTGATCGAATAAATTTGATCACCCAGATCATTTGTAAGATTTTAGTTTAAAGCAATTGAATGTACACGATTTATTTGTTTTACAGTTTAATTCAGAAGAAATACCGACATACCTAGATAAAACAATTAATTATCTAATTTCTAACACAATTCTATATTAAGTCTTGTAATTGTTATAACATACATCTTATACGAAAATTTTTAGAAATTTACCTGTTACGTCATTCTGTAGCGTCAATCCAGTCGTATGATAAACAATGCGTGGTTATGTTGTGCTGTTTTTATGTGCTGTCTTAGGTTGTTTTATGTGTTAATTTGCATTCTGTGGTTATTCAGCACTTCGGTGTTGACATGAATATCAATTATATGGTCATTTTTTTATAAATTGAATGTTTGCTATAGTATGAATTATTCTAAATACTAAGGATTTTCTTATTCCAGGCATAGATAACTTTAGCCGTATTTGGCACAACTTTTTGGATTTTTGGGTCATCAATGCTCTTTAACTTTATACTTGTTTGGCTTTCTGACTTTTTTTATCTGAGCGTCAATTATTATTGGATTGTTTATTTGTGTATTTCTCTGTCCTGAATGATCTTACATTTATTTGTACTGTAGTCCTGTCATGTAATGTTGTCCTTTTAGTGTTATATCTAACATTGCCATAAAAGCGCGAGGTTTGGCTAGACACAAAACCAGATTCAACCCACCACTTTTTTTTAAATGTCCTGTACCAAGTCAGGAAAATGGCAGTTGTTATATTATAGTTCGTTTCTGTATGTGTTACATTGTCCTTTGGTTTTTTGTTTCTGTTGTTTCGTTGTTTTCCTCTTAAAGTTGATGTGCTTCCCTAGGTTTGAGTTTGTAACCCGGATTTGTTTTCCCTCAATCGATTGATGACTTTTGAACAGCGGTATACTACTGTTGCCTTTATTTAGCTCCTTTGTTCCAGCTCTTATGTGGAGGTTTTCGTTTGATATAATACTGGGCCATCTTATTTTCAGCATCTATTTTGTATTGTGTTCAATTTCTTTTTGTCTTGTTCAGTTGTTTTTCAGGTTAAACAACTATACAGTAGGACTGATATGACTAAGCTTTTGA